CTTTTTCAAAAAGTTTAAGTTCAACACTAGGTTGTTTATTTGAGCTTGTTCTGTTTACATGATATGAGAATTCACCACTATAAATTTACCTTTTAGGACTGTTTTCATTGCATCCCATTAGTTCCAGTATGTTGTACTGCATTATCATCTAATTGCAGATATTGTTTAATTTCATTTGTGACTATTGTTTGTTCGGGAAGGTGTTATTTAATTTCCATCTATTTATGGAGTTTTTGTGGTTTCTTTTGTCACTGATTTCCAATTTCATTACATATGGTCAGATAATATGCATGGGATAATTTCAATTCCTTTGCATTTACTTAAGCATGTTCTATTGCTAGTAGGTTGTCTATTTTGGAGAATGTTCCTTGTATAGCTGAGAAGAATGTGTATTCTGATGTTGTGGAATGGAACACTCTGTAGATGTACACTAAGTCCGTTGTTCACAGGTTTGGTTCAGTGTTATACTTCTTTATTTTTTGTCTAGTTGAAATCTGTCTATTTATGACAATGTGATATTAAGGTCCCCATTACAATTTTATTATTGCTTGCTAGATTTTTCTTGTTCATTAATATCTGTTTTATATAGTTACAGAGTAGATTGGTATTTGGTGCATATATATTTAGAATTTATAATTATAAAAGTTTATATTTATATGTTTTCCCTTAACAAGTATATAGTGAACTTTGTCTGTTATGATCAGTCTTGGCTTGAAATTCACCTGGTTTGCAAATAAAATAGCTGCTCCTGCTTTTTTCCAGGTTCCTGTTACATGGAGTATTGTTTTCTATCCTTTGACTTTTAGTCTATGAATTTCTGTTTTATTTAAGTGTGTTTCTCATATACAGTATATTGGATCTTGTTTCTTAATCCATCATGCCATTCTGTTACTTCTGATTGTTAAATCAAGACCATTTATTACATATTGGCTCATCCTTGCCATATTTTCCTGCAGTTGATTCCACTTTTTCCTTCTGATTAATTGCTTGCCATGTCTGGTGGATTCTTTCTACTGGTGTTCTTGGAATTGTGCTCTTTGTTTTCTCTTTCTAAACTATTCTTCAGAACATTTTAGAGACCTGGTTTGGTGGTTAAGAATTTCTTCAGTTATTCTTTGTTATCCAGGTATCTTATTCCTCCATTAATTTTGAAAGATAGTTTTGCAGGGTACATCAATCTGGGTTGGAGATTTTTTTCTTTCAGGACCTGAAATACTTTACTCCAAGCTCTCCTTGACTCAAGTGTTTGCATTGAGAAGTCTGCTGTGATTCTGATGGGCTTTCCTTTATAGGTGATATTTTTTTATTTTCTAATAGTTTTTAATAATATGTTCTAGTGCTGAATTTCTGGAATCTTGATAATTATATGACTTCCATGGATTTCTTTTGGTCATGGCTAATTGGACTTCTATATGTCTCACTTATCTGTATGTCACATTCTTTTCTCATGCTTGGGAAGTTTTCTGCTATTACTTCTGTGAACAAGTTTTTTAAGGCATTTGTGCTTTCTCATTGACTCTGATCAATCTTATGCTGTTCTTCTTTTCATCATCTTGCAGCTATTAGATTTATTTTTCATGGCCCTTTGCTATTTTTAAGACATCGTTCTTTTTGTAGTCACTACCCACAATCCTGTTTTCTAAATCTGATATTCTGTCCTCGCTTTCATTCAATCAGTTGTCTGTACTTTCAGTGGAATTTTAATCTCCTAGACATGTGTTTGAATCTGTTTCATGGGTTCTGTTTCTTTCCTCTGTTGGGCATTCCTTGTTTCCATCATTACGCTAAGCTCCTCTATTTTTCTCTAGAATGATTGAGCATGTTCTTCATTTTGATCCTCATTTCTTTATTTACCTGAGAGATTGTTTTCTTTATAGCTTCATGAATCTTTTTTTTTTTTATTTTTTTTTTTTTTTTTTTTTTTTTTTACTTCTGTTGCTATTAGTTAGGAAAATTCAGGTGAGTGGCTTCTGATTTCCTCTATCTTGCTGTCCCCTGGACTTATCCTGGGTGGAAGTCTGAGATTGCATTTTGCTTCTGCGTCTTGTCATTTTCTACTTATAAAATTATTTTGTTTCCTGTGTTAATGCTTATAAATTTCTTATGGAAGATAGCTTTAACATTAGTAATGAGACTTCCCTAGGAAATGTCTATTCCTCAGAGATGTTTTCTAGGTATACGTGGTTCTTGGTCTTTGTGTTTGTCACAAGATCCTACCTCCCCAATTTAGTTAGGATGAGAAGTTACTATCTATTTGGCTCAGCACACAGTCTTGGATACTCGACTATAGTGATGGTTATGACCCCAGACAATTGCAGTATTGTTATATAAGGGAAAACTACTAATTACAACAAGTGTAACATCCTGGATAAAGTAGTACAATTAGCAATAACAATAGTATCAGGCATGGCCTAGAAACTGACCAACTGTGGTAACTATTAATTAAGTCCCTTTAATCATAGGAAGATCTACAGTGATATAACAAATTCGAACATAACCAGAAGCATGTATGCAATGAGTTTCTCCTTAGTGGAGTGATTTTATCTTGTGGAGAGGGCGTTAAGAGGATAAGGAACAAAACAGAGAGATAATTAAAGGGAAGTATATTAGAGGCAAGTTTGGAAGACAAGGTATGATCACACAAGCTTTTTGAAACTGGAGAAAAGGACTAGAGAGGAAGAATAAAAGACAAAGTAAAAGAATATTGAAGTAAACCAGAAAGACAAGAGACAATTTTCATTCACATAACAACATAAAATAAGAGAAAAAGGTGAGGAAAGAATGAAAGAAGACTCAAATAAACATTTAAAAACATCTTTTGTAAGAACTCTATAGGTGATCCCTTTAGTAACTTTAAAGTGGTCCTCTAGCAAACTCTTTTTTTCTTTGTAGATTCTTCCAAAGTAAATTCATGGAACCGCTTCACCAAAGCATTCTAAATATCACATGGAGGAATCAGAATTACAAAGCTGTTGTGACGTTTTACACATATAAAATTTAGTTAGTTATAGAAAACAAAAGAATTCAGAATTGGTCCTTTTTGAAACCAAGTAACGTACATATAGAGAAACACACACAAAAAAATTAATTGAACACATTGCTATACTAGGGTAGAGAGAGGTTCAGGAGACTCACAGGAGTTAAGACCTTTTTGTCTTGGCTCTGTCACTAATCAGTTAGTTCTCTTCTTAGGCATTTCAATCAAAGCCATTTTAATGTGAGAATCATTTTAAGGCTCACATAGTGTTTTCTCTTATGTTGCTCAAGGTGAGAGGTAAGCAAGGCAGATATTTTCCTCTGCTTTTCTAAGTTAATAGACTGAGCTTTGGTGTGTACTTGCACATGACTGTAGCCAATTAATATGGACTTTGTTTGCACACATGAAGATGAAATGGGCTGTGAGATTGAAATATGACCTGTATTTCTATAATTCATCTCAAATTCCATGACAGGGGCTAATATATTCATTTTAAAAGACTCACTTGAAATAAATGTCACATTATTTATCAACCTATAATGTTCTGTTTGCTTTTGTGTTCTTAGTGGTATTTTTAATATCATGGAAATTGAGACTGAAGTCTCTAAAGTCCTAGAGGACTAAGAAGATTCTGTGATCATTAATTAATAGAAAAGCCATAGACTTAAATATTCGACTACAATTAAGAAAACAGAAATAAAATTAGAAGATCTCTGTATACATGGCTATGGAAAGTAAGAAAACATGATGGAATGCAGGGAATATATTTATTCATCACCAGGTATTGTTTTTAACTTTAAATGAAAGATTTACAGTTCTATCTGTAGGATCATATTCCACTACTCTTATTTTTACAATTGAGGTTGGCTATGGAAAGTAAGAAAACATGATGGAATGCAGGGAATATATTTATTCATCACCAGGTATTGCTTTTAACTTTAAATGAAAGATAACTTTACAGGGCCAAGAGAGTGAAGGGCATCTATAGACAGAACCACAGTTCTATCTGTAGGATCATATTCCACTACTCTTATTTTTACAATTGAGGCTTTCTGGTAGCTTCCTGACTATTATCTCCATCTCCATACTTTCGCAGTTCCACTATTTTATTCTATTAGAGTGATCCTTTTAAAACTCAGCTCTAATAAAATATTTTATATGGCTTCCCCCTAACTGTGGGGCATTGGACAAGTTCCTTAACATGTTGCACAGGACTTTATTTTTTATTCAGCTGTTCTTGATGTTCAATCTTTACTATCACTCTCCTGACCCTCACACAAATGCACACTGAATCCTTCAGCTCCCATTAATGTTACAAGAATTATCCATTTATTTGCATATCATCTTTCTCCTCTAGTAATCTTCCTTACTACTTCTGATTGGCAAGCAATAATCAAACAGATGTGACTCATCTGTTGCATCTTCTGGGACCATAGGCAAAGGATGAACTACCTCTTTGTGTGCCTATGAGGCCTAAAGAGCAATTTCTGTTTGAATCTCAAAACTGCTTAAAGAGATCCTCAAGTCCACCACCACCATGCACTATGTCCAGTACACAGTAGCCATAGAATCAGAGTTGTTGAGCAAATTACCATTTTAAAACAATTCTGGAGTGGAAGAATACACCTATAGCCAAGCTGGCCACTCACAAACTTCAGGACAGAGAGAAATCTGAACTCATGGATTCTGAACAATTTTAACTAATTAAAAAAACACCAGAGACAGATTAGGTCATTTCATGCTTCCAGGACTGTACTAATCCACACAGTATATTTTCTAGTGTATTAGCCTGTCACACTTTAAATATTCTCAGGAATGGGGCCTTTGGGGGGTGCTGATTAACAAGGGTTAGAAAGATAGCAGTAGAAAAGCTGCAGTTCCAGGAGTAGAGTGAGAGAGAGAAAGACGAGTAATTTCATATCTTTGAACCTAGAAAGTAAAGAGTCATTTCATGTGGGTCCCATGTTGAAGAAAAGAAAGAAAATCTTTGGTCACATTACAGCTAAATGCCAGATGAGAAGACCCTCTACTTGCTGAAAGGGAACAACTACAACTCAAATACCTAGGAAGATTATATAATCTGGGAGTGTGTGTTTTTCTTTCTTTTTCACTAGCTGCAGCAGAAAAATCTACTTATATTTTACTCACTTGCTGAAGAACTGAAAATCTACATCACCTTGAGAAAAAGGAAAACTGATATCCACTGATATCAACTCCTCCATTTTTTAATTCATTTGAGACACACTGACCAGGACTGCCAAGTCTCTAGTGAGCCCAGGAATGAATTAATGTGATATCTTAACAGACTTTAAAATAATGTTTTCCATTCCAAATATTTTGTGTCAGAAATAACAATTTAATCATCTTGCTAAAAGCTGATTATCCAACGGAGCTTTCCCCAGCCAAACAACATACAAAACTTATACCAAGGAAATACCAAGTCAGCTCCACAGTTGTTTGTTCTCTCTGAAGTTCTACAATCTGTCCTGGTTGGTCTGAATTTTAACATGACATAGGAAATTAGTAGCCTACCATACTGTTGAGGTTACTGGGTCTGTTAAATACCATTCATTTAAGTGATATAAATCTAAATATTTCTAGAAGATAGCCCAATATGATTGGAAATTCCCAAATTGGCACAATCTTCCAGTAATTCCTGGATACTGGTTGAATCTCTCCAGCACTACACTTGAGATTAACACAATGTCTTCAGGATGTTCTAGCCAGAATGAGGTGACATTGACTCTAGAAGATATTCATAAGCTAGCACACAAGGTATTATCATATATCAAATTAACTAATTTCATAGAACAAGGATTAAAGCAAATGAGATAAAGACTCTAGAGAGTCTAATAGGCAAAAAATAATCCTGGCTCTGGAATAGCTCAAAATGGATATACACAAGGGATTGAGGCAAGGGTTTGGGGTGAAGGGTTGACGTGAGATCCTGGAGTTGGCTTTTGGAATGTTAACCTTTTAGGACAGGGATTGCTTTAAGCACCAAAAAAAAAAAAATCAACACAGTAAAAGTTTCCCAATATCACATTTGATCATAGTAAAAACTTTTAAGTAATCACTTCTAAAAGAATAAAAATGAGAAGACCTACAGGAATGATTTCACTGCACACCCAAATTAGAATGAACCACTGCGCTTGACTGAAACAGGTCTTAGATTGAATCATGAATCTGTCACTTTCTAGCTAGTGACCTTGGCCAAGTTAATTACTTTATGTAATCCTTACATGGATGGAATGAAATGAGAGTGTATGCACAAAAGCCCTCTTTCTTTAGATAATCATATACAATTTTTGAATAAAAACAGCATCTTCTGAGAGAAACCATAAGACTTAATTTTTTTCTCTTCACAATTATCTCACAATGTATTTGACATGGATGATCAATAAATAGTTGTTGAGTGCATAATTGAATGAATTATGCAAAAAGACTGTCATAATTCTGATGATAAGGACAAAGACAACTAAAATGAATAAAAAAGGATTAAGAGTAATAAAGAGACTATAATCCTGATGAAAATAGAAACTAAAAAAACAACAGAAAAGTAGAATGAGCAAGCAGGAGGGAGGGAAAGACATCGGGAGACATAGAGAAAGGAAAGATAAATGCAGGAGGGGAGAAAGGAACAGGAGAAGAGAAAGAGGATAAAGAAGGGAGGAAGGGAATTCAGAAGGGATAGAGGGGGGGTCATAAAATTGAGTATAAAACAATCAGTTTTTCTTCTAACAAAATGTGGAAGCAGTTTATAGCCATCTTTATATTCTCCCTTTAGTTCCTATGGGCCATTATTAAGGATGAAGGAGATTAATGGGCTTTAGAAAGAAGAGCTTATCTGCCATGTCAGGTCAATGAGATGCTAATGAGATCCTAGCCAGCTCTTTGATGTCCCTGAGAGCTGTGTTGTGGATGCCTTTCAGATGCCACAGAGAGAACACCATCCTCCTCATGGTCAGGGCGTGGGCAGTATGGAGGGACACCACTCCTAAAACTCCCTGAATGGAGAAATAGTGATAATACCATGGGTCCATCAAAGTTTGGAAGCCTTATTTCTGAGGATTGTCATTCTATATAAAATTTAAGGATTTAAAATTCAGTGGAAGCAAGAAATGGAAGCAGAAATAGAAGGAAAGAAAAATCTAATAATTGTTACAATGATAATGGAGTTTCTACTAAAACTTAACCTCTCACCCATCAAGGATATTATTTATTATTATTATTATTATTATTATTATTATTATTTA